AACGAGAAATAGCACAAAATATAAACAGCTGCACGCGAGTGATACGTGATCGGGTCAGTGTCGAAGCACAATTTTCGGGCCTTTCTACACGAGGGCATGCAAGAGCCCTCGACGAGAATCCCCTAAAATTCGTCTCCGAGCTTCGTCGTCCAACAACCACTCAACTGTAACCGTAGCACCGATCATGCGAATATTCTGCTTATATTTTGTGCTAGTCTCGTTGACTGCAGTGACATAGTCCGTCTGAGAATGGGAATTTTCGCGTGCGCGAGGGATCCTCGATGAATCCCGACAATGAAATCGTGGAACATAATCGGACAGCGATCGTCGAAGTTCCGAAACTGAAGATCCGATCGAACAACAACGAGGGTCCCGAAACGACCCAATTCCGTACGACATAACAGCGCCGAAAACATCTAATTTTCGCCAATAAGCCGACGTTTCGATTGCACGTGTCGTACATGTAGGAATGTATACGTGTGTATGCACGCGCGCACAGAACGTAAGCACACACACACACACACGCGCGCGCATACGCTCAGAGCCAGACAGATGATAGACAGGCAGACAAGTAAACACGCAAGCACGCGCGTACAACCGCATGCACACGCACACGACGTACACGCATACGCTTTCGTACACAACAGGATCCTAGATTCGTGTGTGTACTCTTAGTATTATACACGTATGCTTATTATAATACCAATAGTGGTTTCAAACTGTTATTTGAACATTCAAGGATACATCGTGCACGCACGCGCGTGCACGCAAAAGAAACGCGAACCGACACGTTGTCAATACCTATAGGTCGCTATATATCACTTCCTTGTCATATTTTTTCCTATTTTCCTCTCTGCTTCGAGTGTGTTTTTCGGGTACACGTGCGAAGAACAAACGATAATGTGCACAGAACGGAAGAAAATTCGTTTTCCTCTTCTTCTTTCTCTTCGTCCTCTCACCCTTCTTCCTCTGTTTCTTTTCTCTTCTTCCCTCGTAATTCTTCTTCGATATTTACATGCTCTCGCGACAGAATTTCAAGGAGCGCTGGATCCGACCGAACGTAAACGGAAAGACGACGATCGCCCCTTAAATTGTCAGATAACAGTCTTCATCCTTCATTCTACATGCACTGTATACGTACACGCGTATACATTATTTTATTGTTTGCTGTAGATATTTTCTCTATAAGTATAGACGTACTTTCTGTTTTCTAATTTACAAGCATTAATGATTTAATATTCGTGTGTGTTCAACTTATCGCAATACCCATCAATAATGTGTTTACGGGTTCGAGTATCGTTATTTTCGTGTGTGTTAACATGTGTGTGAATCAATTGTTCTGGACGACATTCCACACGGACGTTTCTCTCGCTGCTCTTTCTCTCTCGCTCTCTCTTTCTTTCTCTCACTTTCTCTCTCTCTCTTTCTCTTTCTCTCTCTCTCTCTTTCTCTCTTACTATTCCCCCCTCTCTCTCTCTTCCTTTTTCTCTATTTCTTTCTCTCCCTCTGTTTCTCTCGGATCTACTTTCGCGGTCCTCCCTTTGCGTCTCCTCCCCTATACAACTTTAACGGTTCTACCCTCCGTAGCTTCTCGGTCTCGAGCGTGCCGATCGCCGATCCTGTTTTAAGCAACGTTCAAAATAAAGTCATCTATTTCGACGGGGACGCTCGAGGCCGCGAACGGAGCAATGTCGGAACAGCGAACATGTGGAAAAACCTGCCCGCCCACGCACAATAAATGTATACATGTACGTATCCATATACGGAAATATATGAATTTATCTACACTTGTGCTTGCGCCGGTTACACATTATATACCGTGTGTGCACAGGGCGCGTGCACACGAACACGCACACACAGCTCGAGCACGTCTCGCTCCTGTACACTTCTCGCACTTTCCCCAGCTTTCTCGCAGCCCCGTTTTTCTCCGTTCCTCCGCAAGCTTTCTCTCCCACGCATTCACGCTCGCCTTTCTCGCCACCCTTTCGTTCACCACGATCTCATCGCTCAGGCTCTCGGAAGACGCGCGCAGGCAGACAGACGCACACGGAGTCAGACAACGCACACACGCGCGCACACACGCGGTTCGCATACGTACACGTTATACAGTCGTTATATACGATTCTCTTAAACCTCCGTATGTATACTTTATATGTATATATTATGTATACGGCTTATTCCATTAAACTTTGTTGTTTCATCGCTAAATTTGTTTTTTTCATGTTTTACTCTTCGTTACGTCGTCATTTATTTTTTACGGATAGAATTTACTTCTCTCTATAATGTAGTATTTGAGTAACCGTTTTTCGCCGACGATGACACATATATACATATACGTATATACATGTATGCATATATATATATACATATACGTATATATATGTATACATATGCATATATATATGTTCGTATACATACATATACGTGTGTACGTATGTATACATGTATAATGTACGTGACGGTGTGCCGATAACGAAAGGCGATGACGATGAGGATGACTGCGACGACATCATCGACGATAGCGTTTCGTGAAGACAATAAATAGTAACGCGGTAAACCAGCGACAATAACAATAACAGCGATTGTGTGGTAGCGATCATCCCGGCGACGTGACAGCGCCGATGCCGATGGTAGTAGTAGTAGTAGTAGTAGTAGTAGTAGTAGTAGTAGTAGTAGTAGTAGTAGTAGTAGTAGTAGTAGTAGTAGTAGTAGTAGTAGTAGTAGTAGTAGTAGTAGTAGTAGTAGTAGTAGTAGTAGTAGTAGTAGTAGTAGTAGTAGTAGTAGTAGTAGTAGTAGTAGTAGTAGTAGTAGTAGTAGTAGTAGTAGTAGTAGTAGTAGTAGTAGTAGTAGTAGTAGTAGTAGTAGTAGTAGTAGTAGTAGTAGTAGTAGTAGTAGTAGTAGTAGTAGTAGTAGTAGTAGTAGTAGTAGTAGTAGTAGTAGTAGTAGTAGTAGTAGTAGTAGTAGTAGTAGTAGTAGTAGTAGTAGTAGTAGTAGTAGTAGTAGTAGTAGTAGTAGTAGTAGTAGTAGTAGTAGTAGTAGTAGTAGTAGTAGTAGTAGTAGTAGTAGTAGTAGTAGTAGTAGTAGTAGTAGTAGTAGTAGTAGTAGTAGTAGTAGTAGTAGTAGTAGTAGTAGTAGTAGTAGTAGTAGTAGTAGTAGTAGTAGTAGTAGTAGTAGTAGTAGTAGTAGTAGTAGTAGTAGTAGTAGTAGTAGTAGTAGTAGTAGTAGTAGTAGTAGTAGTAGTAGTAGTAGTAGTAGTAGTAGTAGTAGTAGTAGTAGTAGTAGTAGTAGTAGTAGTAGTAGTAGTAGTAGTAGTAGTAGTAGTAGTAGTAGTAGTAGTAGTAGTAGTAGTAGTAGTAGTAGTAGTAGTAGTAGTAGTAGTAGTATTAGTAGTAGTAGTATTAGTAGTGTGTGTTTGTTAGTCGTGTGTCGTTGCCAGCGGTGATGGTAGCGATCGTGATCAAACGGTCGTTGGCGACAGATAGCGACGACGATACAATTTTAAACAACGACGAAAGAAAGAGCGAGAACAGTCTCTCTAATATACGATAATGGAGCGTTTTCATTGCGAGCGTGACTCGTTATCCATTGAAAACGAAAGTTGACTAACTTAGCGGAAACTGTGACAGCGTTCGCGTAATCGTGATAATGACAACGGCGACGACGGTACCAATGATAATCCTAACGATAATCAGAAGACTAATAACTGTAGAGCGACGGTGGTAGCGGTACCGACAGCAATCCGAATTAAAGCGACGTGAATCGTTACAATGATAATAATAATAATAGTAATAATAATGGCAACGAGATCATCGTGACGATCATAACAAATAATAGTAGTAATCATAACAATAATGTGGTAGTAATAATAATAATAGTAATAATAATGATAATGATAGTAATAATAGTAATAATAATAGTAATAGCAATAATAATAATAATAATGACAGTCCTAATAATATCATTCTTACATTATATACAGAGTTGATATCACTCCATAGTTGCGCATTGCCGTCCATGCGGAAGAGTTGCAGGCAGAAACGAACGCGAAAACTCGGGGATGGAAAAAGTGCAACGGTAACATTAACCGCGCTATAGTATGTATATAATATGTATATAAACGGGGGTAGAGCATAATCAATCGGTGGGAACCGGCGAATCGTGATGGCGAAAAGGTGGCGACGCGTATTTCGCCGTGGCGGACTGAATCTGGTACGTACGCGGTATGTAGTTTTTCTTTTTTAAATAGGTACAACAACAGCAACAACAACAACGACAACAATAACAGCAACAACAACTAGTGAACGTGAAAAATAGAATCTCGAAATGGAAATCCATGCGCGACGCGTCTCTCGCGGATCGTTTTCTGCTCGGACCGCATTCGTTTCACATTCATTTTTCGCTTCTTTGTCGTCGCAAGGCTACAGAAATTTGTTTAGGTCGAGAGAGTCGGACGATCACACCAACGTGGCGTGTCATTTGCTAATACACAAGTAATCGGTATACATAATAAGCGATTGGGGGGAGTGTTAGAGCGGGGGTGCGACGAGAGATATAGCAGCAGACGGAAGAGCGTGCTTCGACAGCGCGGTTGGAAGAGGAAGCAGCGGCGGCTTCGATAGAGAGGCGCAACCGAATCCTTGGTATTTGTTTTGTTCGTGTTGCTTAAAAGTTAGGGTATCGTTTAGGACATCTTTTCGTTGGAAACGATCCGTCTTGAGTGTGCACAGACGAAATGCTGTTCGTTCGAAATGAAAATAAGAAGACGATCGATCGTTCGTTGCACGGAGAAAAATAAATATGATCGCGGGGGTGTACTTGCCTCTGCGTGTCTGTGACTCTCTGTGTCCGTGTGTATGTGTGTGTGTACGTGTACGCGTGTAGGTGTGCGATTATATTTTCGGGAGGACGAAACGAGACCGCGGGTGAGAACTGAAGAAACGTATATTCACGGACAGCGGTGTTCCGCGTGAACGGCACGCGCGTGAATCTCTTCACAATAATCGAATATAAGTTAATCGATTTATTTCACGATGTTTAAACTTAACCCTACAGTGTTTTTTTTTGTTAGCCAGTTAACAACTACTTAAATTAAACATGGTTATTATAGTTAGATTGTTGAGCACAATTATTGATTTCTATTAAAGATTTTCGGGAAGCGCTGTGAGATGAGCTCATATCCCCAAACTCGCTGGCCGACTTACCCTTACGCGGTAAAGTGGTGGCCTCTCCTAACGAAGGTAACTCCCGCGGTTTCCAGATCGGCGAACCTTCAATAGATTTTCATAATAGCAAGTGCCGCGTCTGATCGGTCAAGGTCATTCACTACCTACATACTCTAATTGCACAGCAACCGAAATCAACGAGAACATTCACGTTGGACCGTGGACACCGGGCTTCCACAGTTTTAGGAACGCAACGGAACTCTCGATTCGTCGACAAGCTCGCTGCTCGCGTCCGAAGACTTTGATCCCGTGTTTCACGGGAGAACAATCGTTATTCGTCGTTTAATTGTTTCAGCGCTGCTCCCGAGACAGTCTGCTGTTCGATAGCGGTAATTAAACTGCAGATTTTAGCAGCTACTTACTTACTTCGCATATTTCATACGTAGACTGCGAATCTTTATGCAAACTAAACATTTTCTTTATCGATCGTAACAAACAGAAATTAAAACTGTAATTTCTCTTTGCGGTGAACGCGTGTGAGAACTTTGTTAGATTCTTCTAATTTCCTCATTGTTCGATATTGTTTGGTGCATTGTTTGGTATTTCACCTAGTCAATTTCAGCACGAATGCATAAAATCCGCAGTATATTTATGTTTCGCGTATACTGCATACGACGGTCAATTTTTAGACGATTTTTAACTGGTATCGTTCTATGTATAATGTAGACAACAGTATTACGAAACAGTTAAAAGACGTGCGAATTTATAACTTGTTTGTAACAATATATAGTAGTCCACAAAATTAAAGTAACTATTATACATATAAGTATCCTCTGTGCACGGTGTTCCTTGAGTTTTGTAGAGTACCATATTCATTGTATTTTATACATTGTACAGGATACGTTGAAATTGATAGAATCGCCGAAACACAAACGCTGATAGCGAGCCTGCCGATGAAATGACTTCTTCGATTTATGTTTCAACGAAAACTCGACAATAACGTCCACGATCCAATTATCATTTTTATAGCACACTCGTCCATTTCCTTGTACGATACATACATACGTGCGGAATGATGTTGTGGAAGAAGTGACACCGTACGAACGCTCACAAGCAAAACGACGAGTATGCGACAAAAAATGGTCCTTTCGTTTTCCCGACTCTTTCCAATTACAGGTTACACGATTTTGATTCTTCTCTTACCTAGTTCTTTCACTGTAATAGGTTGATAGTTTTCCGGTTGATGCGAGGACTGGATTAATCTTGCTTGACTGCCCGTACTTCCCGCTGAAATGGTTGAAGTGGTGCTCAAAGTCAAATGATTCGGAGTGCGGCCCAAATTTGCCTTCTTCTCACCTAAAAAAGCTTGCGAGTCTTCCTCTCCCTCGGACTTTGTTCCTGAATCCATCTCCACCTTCACCTCCCCTGTATTGGAAAGCGAACACCTGCGAGTTAGTATGAAGGAGCACAGGTGTCTTGGATCAGTTGCTCAACGATAACACAGCGATACGCTTGTGTCGCATCGCTGGGCTGCGTATCTTCGCGCGAGACAAAAATATTTTGCACCAATTGTAAGACATAGATTATTTCTACACCGTTTAAAACCGAACAATTTGTTCGTCTTAGCGATCATGGTAGAAACGATAGAGATATGTAACTCCATTTAAAAAATATCGACGACCTTGAAGCCTTGAAAAATATGACTTTTAAAAATTATCATTTCCGTCCCTTCGAACCATACAATTTGTTTATGTAGTATTTCTGAGTACCATTGACAATAACGATATTGTTTTATAACATAACTAGTGAGACACCCTGTATACGTATATTTATGTCACATATACGCTCTAAATAAAGCATTTAGTGATACATAGTTTCTTGTTAATAATGAAATTATCACAAAATTTTGACTACAAAATTTCGCTTTCGACTACATACCGTGCATGTTGTTCTCTTAATTCAAATATGGAATCTGTTTTAAATAACATCGAGAAATTAAGCTAACATTTTTTCTAGGGAATTCAGTTTTCTAAAATGGCAGTTCGAAGAAGAGGCTCAAAGATAATGAAACGACGAATGGAATTTTATGACTTTAATAATAACTCTGTCTGCTGGCTAAAATGAGAAAGTATAATAGAAGAAATATCTGCTTTCTAAAAATACTATATTCGCATTATAGTATTCTCGCAATAACTGTTCAAAAAAAGTCCACGATATCCGACCTGGAATCAATGAAGCATTAAACACACTCGACGACTAAGTTTGCCAGTGCTCGGGTGTTGATAAGACTCAGAATCATGCAAGCGAAGCAAAACATTGCAACTTATTTCATTTCTGATTATTTTGTACGAAACCGGAACAATCGTATTCGTCTCGTTTTACTGATTAAAATAACACCAAACACGACACGATTGCGGTTATAATTACTTGAATACATAGTCTCTAAGTCTGAAAATTAAAAGTATTATTTATAGAAACTCTTAGAAAGTGCGAGGTGATGTATTATATTTTTCAGTTACGCTTTCAACTTCTGTATGTTGCTTAGTGTTGATATCTGTTATATTACTCGAGTTATGATTTTTTAAAGAAACGAATGCTCTAAACTTTCATTCAGTATAGCTAAAAATGTTTAAATCCAAGATCGAAGAAGTTCTGGAACTTTTTCACAAACCACACTGGAATTTATTGCATGTAGTTCGAGAATGTATACGAGAAAAAAGATCTCGTATTATAACTCGATGATTAAAAGTATTAGCTCGACTGAAATCAATGTTTGAAAATAAAAGTTTTTTTTATAAATTTGGCACATAATAATTCGGCGTTCTATTTATTTTATAAGAACCTTTTCAACGAATGTTCTAAGATAATTTGTTCCTGTGGAACAAATATAATATATATATGTATCTGTTCTACGAGAACGTTTATTGGAAAAGCTCCCAAGAGCTAATAACTCTTTTCGAAAAAGTTATACGAGAATAGCATTTTTTTCGCAACGAAAGCTACCTGTTCATCTCGAAATAATGAGAAAACAATAAAAATCCGAAGACGTGCGTTCAACAGACAGAGGATTTCATGAATTCGCAGAAAAAACAAACAGAACAGGTTAAATACAGTGCTGTAAAGATATTAAACAAAAACAATGTCGCTGCACTAATTTCTACTGTACGAAATGATCAACAGAAAAAGTTTATTTTCATCTCATTTTTCGCACAATTAATGTAGGAAACCGTTTAGAAACTTCTCATTGTCTACTGTGTTTTGTAATCGGTACAGATAATATTAACCTCTTGTCGTACCGTTTACATCACAGATACTAATGATTACTTTTTCGATTCTAATCAGTTCTTGGAAGAAAGAGAAAAGTAACCTTAACATTGTCTGTGTGCGTCTGCTCTTACTTGAACGCATGAATATTGATGATGGCAAAAGAATAGAATTTTTCTTTCCGAATTCAATGAACGGTAATCATTCATACTCGGAAGGTTATTACCGGAAATCCCTATTATTAGGGAAATCAAGGGGTTAATCCCGCAGGAAGGTACATAATCAACATACAGTGGGGCACAATTGAATTTACACGAAATTCGTACGCTTCACAGGACTCAGCCCCATTCTTTTCTCACTACAGTGCTTCGAGCTCAGTGGGGTCTTATCTCAGTAGATAAGGATACCCAATGACTACAGTGAAAAGAAAGGAGATAGACATACATCGTTTCGGATGTTGGCGTTATGGAATTTTGGTGGATACCAAGGGGAAGGCGAGTTTTCCTTGGCTCGCAAGATTGGTTGAACTTGAATCACGTGTCGGAAGAATAATAGAACACGAGAGAAAAGCCACTATCGCGGAACATCTATTTTAATCATAACATTGTTGTTATGCGTCGAACCCTTTGACATACCGTCTTCGTCGCAGTTACTGTAATTAGACATTTTTCGATTGCAATAATTTCTTAGAAGGGAAAGAAAATTGATGCTTATCGTGTGCCTAAATTTACTCGAATGCTTGAATATTGATGACAAGAGATTCGAATTTTATTCCAATTTCAAAGGACAGAATAACATCTATACTCAATTGGTTATTGTCAGAAATTTTCATGACGCGTCGGACACGTCAAAATACGTCAAGGGGCTAATATTTATAGATGGAGAATAAATGAATGAGATGAAGACAGTTTTTATACTTTATACTTTGATCAGGAGAAAACGCATTTGATTGATGGAACGGATTACAATGGCCTTTGTACCATGCGCAGGTTGCGGAGCTAATTGAAAGTTGAGCCAGTGTTCGCACCAATGGCAACGTATGTATATGAAGATTCTNAATCAATGTTTGAAAATAAAAGTTTTTTTTATAAATTTGGCACATAATAATTCGGCGTTCTATTTATTTTATAAGAACCTTTTCAACGAATGTTCTAAGATAATTTGTTCCTGTGGAACAAATATAATATATATATGTATCTGTTCTACGAGAACGTTTATTGGAAAAGCTCCCAAGAGCTAATAACTCTTTTCGAAAAAGTTATACGAGAATAGCATTTTTTTCGCAACGAAAGCTACCTGTTCATCTCGAAATAATGAGAAAACAATAAAAATCCGAAGACGTGCGTTCAACAGACAGAGGATTTCATGAATTCGCAGAAAAAACAAACAGAACAGGTTAAATACAGTGCTGTAAAGATATTAAACAAAAACAATGTCGCTGCACTAATTTCTACTGTACGAAATGATCAACAGAAAAAGTTTATTTTCATCTCATTTTTCGCACAATTAATGTAGGAAACCGTTTAGAAACTTCTCATTGTCTACTGTGTTTTGTAATCGGTACAGATAATATTAACCTCTTGTCGTACCGTTTACATCACAGATACTAATGATTACTTTTTCGATTCTAATCAGTTCTTGGAAGAAAGAGAAAAGTAACCTTAACATTGTCTGTGTGCGTCTGCTCTTACTTGAACGCATGAATATTGATGATGGCAAAAGAATAGAATTTTTCTTTCCGAATTCAATGAACGGTAATCATTCATACTCGGAAGGTTATTACCGGAAATCCCTATTATTAGGGAAATCAAGGGGTTAATCCCGCAGGAAGGTACATAATCAACATACAGTGGGGCACAATTGAATTTACACGAAATTCGTACGCTTCACAGGACTCAGCCCCATTCTTTTCTCACTACAGTGCTTCGAGCTCAGTGGGGTCTTATCTCAGTAGATAAGGATACCCAATGACTACAGTGAAAAGAAAGGAGATAGACATACATCGTTTCGGATGTTGGCGTTATGGAATTTTGGTGGATACCAAGGGGAAGGCGAGTTTTCCTTGGCTCGCAAGATTGGTTGAACTTGAATCACGTGTCGGAAGAATAATAGAACACGAGAGAAAAGCCACTATCGCGGAACATCTATTTTAATCATAACATTGTTGTTATGCGTCGAACCCTTTGACATACCGTCTTCGTCGCAGTTACTGTAATTAGACATTTTTCGATTGCAATAATTTCTTAGAAGGGAAAGAAAATTGATGCTTATCGTGTGCCTAAATTTACTCGAATGCTTGAATATTGATGACAAGAGATTCGAATTTTATTCCAATTTCAAAGGACAGAATAACATCTATACTCAATTGGTTATTGTCAGAAATTTTCATGACGCGTCGGACACGTCAAAATACGTCAAGGGGCTAATATTTATAGATGGAGAATAAATGAATGAGATGAAGACAGTTTTTATACTTTATACTTTGATCAGGAGAAAACGCATTTGATTGATGGAACGGATTACAATGGCCTTTGTACCATGCGCAGGTTGCGGAGCTAATTGAAAGTTGAGCCAGTGTTCGCACCAATGGCAACGTATGTATATGAAGATTCTGTTGGCGCGAGAGAGGGGAGTATTCGGCAACGATATGGTTGCGAGGAGACACCGCGCGGTTGCGAGCGGAGCAGTCACGAAACATCACTACGCATGGAGTGGGGGTAGGCAACACATGCGCGGGAGTCCCGCGGAGACTCGCCTGCGGCGAACATTGCAATTCTGGCCTACGATCGGACAGAGGTTCTACGTCGCTTTTGTAGTCTCTGTTCACCATTTTGCGAATTAAATTCGCTTTTTGCAGATAAAATTAACCCTTTGACAGATCGAAATGAATCATTTTTTATTAAAATTTTTAGTGCAATATTTAAGAATAGTAAGAAACAAATGTCATAAACGTAAGCTCAAAAATGCTTTATTAAGAAATTGTGTGAAAAATACGAAATAACAATAGACTGATTTTCGTTCCATGTAGAAATATGTTAGTGATATTTCTCTTATCTGTATTTATTTATCCAAACTACGCTTACTAATTCGTTCCACTTTTCATGTATTTACCGCTGTATTTTAAAAAATAGGCGACGTTTTGAAAAATAAATAACATACAGACAAATGTTCTAATCAATCCGTTGTTATTTCGTATTTTTCTTATAATTTTTTTGATAAAGCATTTTTTAGCCTACGTTAGTACGACTTTTTTTTTCTTATTTTCGCTCGTAAAATATAAATATGCTGATACCATTTGGTACACCCTGTATAATAATGTATACTCGGATTAAGAAAATTCGATCATTTTCTATTAAAATGTCTTCATAATTTCAGCAACTTTAAGACAAGAAATGTGAAACCGGTCATTTTTGACCGGCTAGTTGGGTTAAGCGTTAATCTTCAATAATTATTTATAAAGTGTCATCAAATTCTTAAATTTGATATGAATCTGAGTAAAAATAATTACAGATAAATGACTCGTCCGTTGCAAACGAATGAATTTGGAGTGTGAGAATGGTGAATATGATACATAAGAGGATTCATTTTTAGTATAAAACACTTGTATTACTAACCATCGGCCTAATGATAGCAATGATTGTCATTCTTACCGGACGTATCGCTTATGGTCTTGCTTCGAAAACGGAAGATGGTTTGCTGTTGGCTCGCCGGTTCTTCCGTCTCCCTGTCCTCGGAACTTTCGTGCTCCACAACTTGTTTCGACTGACTATACTTTCGTCTAACGTTATGTGCGGTAGACAATGGTTGCGGCTTGGCCGCCTTCTTGATCATCGGTGTTTGATGCGCGACCGTTTGGTGTACTGCCCCGTTGTTGTTGTTGTTGTTGGCGATGTTGTTATTGTTGCTGTTACCATTCTGTCCTTGGCTCACCGATTGTTTCTCGAACTTCTCCACGTGTCCGGTCGACATTCGCGGCGAGATCGTCATCGGCGATTGGCTCAGATTTGGTTTCGTCGACGGTATGCTCATGTTCCGTACCGATTCTCGAATGATCTGCCGAATCGTCCTCAGGAAGGCGTTGCGGAACTCCGTCGTGCTGGTGTGAACACAAACAAGCAGAAATCTATTATTCTTTAAAGTAATAAATAGTCACTTGATTCTTCAAAATACTGTTCATTATCTTCAGGACAGACTTATCGCTTCACTGTGGATTTTTATGCAAAATAAATATTGTCCGTGCTATAATCGTAAGAAACATAGGTTATTTTATAGAGGTAAATATCCTCTTTTAGTTATTGTAATAAGTAGTACGTAACAGGAAGATTTTGTTCAATTCTTCCAATGTGACTTTATAGCTTTTTTTATTTGACCTAGCAATTTTTGTCGAAAATGCATAAAATCCGCGGACTACTTATAGCAAATCAAACATTTTCGTCGCAGAAAGTTGCAATGTTACTTGATGCTAATAAACTCGTAAAGTTCGCTTGAAATATCGCATTTGAATCTTTACCATACACTTAGGCTCTACGGCAACCCAATGAAATTTTTTTCTAAAGCAAATCACTTTCCACATCCATCTTTTTCATCTACGTGCAAATTATAATGCGAAGAAAAGCGTTATTAAACCTTGTTTTAGAATGTCTAAGAAATATTCTGTAATAAATAATATTAATTAATGAAAAATATTCTGTAATAATAAATAATTTAAACGTGACAGCCGTTTGAAGCCGTTGATTTGCATTATACCCCTTGTGCGCACTACAGATTTTTCATGCGGTTTAAACAGTAAAGATTAAACTAATAAAATAATATATCGTATACATAATATATCGATATAACGACATATATATCGTATACATAATATATCGATATAACGACATATATATATATATATATATAATATATCGACAATAATTTTATCGTATACAACAATTGATCGTGTCTAAAAGATTACGCAGCTGCACCACCTTTAAAAATCAACGCCTGTAACATGTGTACAATACTGCGGAGAAAGAAAACTGCGTTCAAAAGAGCTGTGTTTAAACGATACGAGAGTTCGAGTGAACAATAGCGTTCGACAACGGCTGTTTGTTAGATACCTGTTAGAGAGCACGTATACTTTTTCCGATCTTCTCTGTAATTGACTTCTTAAATGGATCAACTCCCACAGGAAATGGGACTCCATGTCCTTTGCAGAGCTGGCCCGCACTTGCACTTCCGTCACAGGAATCAGCACTTGATAGCGAATGATTTCTACTTCGCTGGAATTCGCTTTCGTCGAGACACCCTGTGTATGGCATAGAACAATGATCGTGTTAATTTATCGGCAAGATAAATAGCCAACCAAACAACCGTCAAATAAGGACAATGTAGAACACAAAACTTACCATGAGCTTCTTCTTTTGCCTCAGCCTCTCCTTGCACAAGAAGACGACGGCAGATTTAAAAACAAAGCACATCGCGTGCAATTCGAGGCCTTTCTTGATCTTTCCAAGGAAATCGGAAATGTTGAGCCACTCGACGCCTCCGTAGTAGAGTAGGTCCCCAGGACTTAGGTCGATTGGCTGTTAAAGTCATAGTATTTTTAGTGATTCCGTCGACGCGAAACAGCACAACACTTGAACTCAATGACACCAGCACAGCGTCGATGCAGCTCTTTCGTTCCACCTCTATTTGGTATCGTGAATAAGCCGATGACGGTCTGGTGTCGTTCACGTATTGTGCTGTTAGATAGGCGATTCATACTGATCTACTGTATTAATACTATTTTAATAATAACATATTGATACTATGTATAGGGTAGTCCACCAAAAGGTAGCTATATAATTTGTTTCGGTTGCGATGATGTAAGACATATTTTGCATGCAGTCTCATGTGGAAATGTAGCTCGTATTCAACTTTAATGTTCGGAGTAAAAGGTCACTCGAAGATCATGTATCATTGAGATTTGCGAATGCGTTCGAAAGTCGGCTACAGTATGCAAGGGAAAATATACAAGTATGTATGATATAAGTGACCCACGTTTTAACACTAGAACTACAGAGCACTAAAGTGACTAGTTTGTATTACCTTATAGGAGCAACAAGACTGTATTTTTATTCAGATTTTCTGCGTTTTTATAACATATACACCTAAATAAATAATAATTCGGTGATCCCCCACAGAAACAGCTTAATACACTCATTAATTGTGAAATTGGGAAATCTAATAGTTTTAGTGCTAACGTGTAGGTATCTAAGAGAACAGTGTTATCTTTTTCACGTTTTAATGTCCTCCTTTTTTTTCTTTGTATTACGAGTAGACTGGGGATTTTATGAGTTTGTGGCAAAACCGAGTTGCTCCTGCATCTTGCAAACAATGCAGGCAATGTTTGTTTTGTATAAAAGTCCGCAGTCTAATTATGAGTCCCATTAGATTACGTTACAGCGATGTATTAAACTCTAATCTGTCGACTGCGAAAATGCGGATTATTTTCTGTAAAGGTTAAGTTAAGTCGGTTAAGGGGATAAAAACTACCCCTCGTCTGAATTAAATGACTGACATTCGACAGATCATAAAAAGAAAATGTTTTTCTGGCTTCAGAATTGTACCAGATTTTTTACTTTGGCGCGTCATAGTTAAAATTTTTTTGAAGTTTTTAGCGTAAAAAGGTATCTTCCGATGAAATCATTCTTTAAATTCTTCATTCCGTAAAGACACTACGCGATATTAAATATTCTGCAAAAGGTAAACGATGTGCATGATTAAAGAACAAAAATATAACTATGCTTTCTATGCAACATTTTACACAATACATTTCCCTTTTATGACATATCGCCGCATCAGCCGTTTAGATCGGCTGAAAGGCTGTTTCGACCTCCTAAAGAAGTGGTAAACAATGGAAATCATTAAATAGACTTAAAACAAGTGTTTCACATTTCTGTTTCCCAAGAAACAAGCTGATGAAAAATAGTGCGAAATATTAGTTCCGGTCTAAGACAATCGAAACTTTGATACGATCGAAAAGTGACCCGGCATCGTTGATGAACAAAAGAGAAATTCGTGTTCCCTTCGTTTACCTGTTTGCATGATTTCTGATGTTGTCTGAACAAATGATCGAAGATAGCTCCGTATTCTTCGTGAATTCTTTGCATCTCGTTTATGTGCTCCGCGACCTTCTCCATGCCCTTTAGCGCCTCTGTAATTAAAAAGCAAGTGATTGCAAGCGAGAAAAGGTGGCCCAAGTTCTTCGATGATATAATGAAATAAAATGTGCTAAAGCAGGAAGCTCACCGATTAAATGTTGATGTTCCTCGCTTCGTTCGTCGGTTAGATTCCGTAGCTGCTGCAGCAGCAGAGGATATTTCAGTATTCTTTGAATAGGCTTGATCAGATAGGATTCCAAAGTCGACGAGTGTTGTTGTCTTGGGTTTCTTGCCTGCAAGAACTCTTGTAAAGCTTGATTTCCCTCGTCTGCAACAAGCGGAGAACTTTGGCATCGAGAAGCTTCGGCGGAATTAAAGAAAGTGAATCCTCTAAGGGGTAGGTACTGCTAAGAAAACGACGCTACTCCGAGACACAGAACGAAGATCGAAAGAAAGATAGTTCCACTCACTTGGATGGAGAACTTTTTGCGCCTTTGAGTGGCTGGCGCAAAACGAGCTGTATAGCTTGAAGTGATTTACGTAATATAAGAAGGCACTTCCAATGGAAAACAGGACACCCTTTAAAAATCGGTACACTCGTCGTTACATTAGAACGAAGCGACGCAACGTACGTGCTAAGTATCTAAGTTTGCGTATACATATGTAACGCATTCAAATATATACATATGTCGTTGCATTTGTATCACGTACCTTAAATTGACTGGGATGATCAAAACTATTAAAATCAGCCTCCATCTCGATCGCGTGATCGAGATTCTGCAGAAACTGTCGTTGAAACGTAACGATTTCCTGAATGTTTCCAAACAACGCATTTATCTCTGCATTCGATAGGAAAGTCTCACGTTTAAGGGGCTCCAGGTAGTTCTCCAGCAAATTGTTTAAATTCTAAAAATATATATACGCCTTTTAACACTAGCCCTGCCAAATCTGAGTCACTAACACGTGTTGCTTTAATCGCCATTTTTATTATAAAGTATCCTCGGATTACGAAATTTCTTAATTCTTTCTGTATCTATGTTCGAAAGATTTTTTATATATAATTTTGGGATTAAAATACTTTTTACTTGAGATTTGTAGCACAATGACTTTTTTCGTGCATACAATAAATTTTATTCGTATCATCTATTAAGAAAAATGTGTTAAAAACATTTGTCTATCTTCTATCTCTCGCGGACATTTCATCAAAATAGCTGTTATAAATAAGTGCAATAAATTCCTGTTATCGAAAATTATTACAATTATGACATTACGTTTTGTCCAGTTTTCACTGAATTTTACTGGGATGTTTAGAATGAAGTAGAGTTAACATACCAGCTGCGATGATAAATATTAACGTTCTAATCTCAGTTTCGTTGATTGAATTATTTTGGTTTTGTAGAAATTATTGGGGTTGATTTTCGGTACTCGAAGTGTTAATTATAATTGATATTGGTAATCAATAATTGAGATCTTTTAATCATGTAGTTTGTAAACAATTTTCCTTACATTTTGCGATTAGTGGCTTCAACTTCACTAATAAATACGATTTTGTTATCTTTTTTACAAAAATTTCTCAAACAACTGTTTTTTTATATTATTATATTATATATATTTATTTATATTATTTTGTATTATATTTATTTATTAATATTTATTTATTGTGTTTCATTTATTAGGTTGTTTTTAAGTTTTTGAGTTTTAGGTATTTGAGTTACAGTGTTAACTGCCATGATCGAATTTCGACGTCCAAAGAACGTCGATCGCGAGACACTCACCTTCACGTAAGTCCGTTCTGTCTCGATCAACTCTAGAATGACCTTTTTCAGTTTTTCTGCGTCGCTCAGCTGTCGGCTAGGCGTCATAGCCTGCGAATGAGAACTGACAACGCTTCCGGTAGGGCTGGACTTTCTAGTTTCGCCAGGCGATCGGCAAATTCCCGTCACTTGTTCGGCGGTTTTCAGCAAGTTTTCAATTTCAAACGAATTTGTGCGAGACGACGCTTGCTTGCCATTATCGGGATGAAGAGTCGACGTGCAGTCCTGCGCGATGCTCTCCTTACCTATGTTCACAAAATCACCGGTCCTCGTTAATCAGGTTCGTTTTAGAGACAGAACGTGCGTTTTGTTCGTTTTTAAACGATTCCTCCTCCCTTACATATTGGACATCGATAAACTGCGAATTTCTGTGCGAAATCAACATTACTTAAGTCAGTTGCAAATAACAGAAAACAAAATGTATTTCTTCTATCAATAATTTTGCTAAGTCGAAAATGACATAGCAATGTTCTTAAGTTTTTCGAAAAACTTTAAAAATTGTGTACTTCATTTGATAGCATAATTCTATAAAATTCGCAGTTTGATCATTAGTGTACATCGCAGCAAGCAGTGTTTGGATTCAACTTGAGTGATTTTGACAGGTGCATATTCTAATGTTGTTACTTGTGAATTGATGCATCAAGTTCGATCTTTGTGTAGTCGTACACCTTTTAATCGGTTACTATTATGATTATATAAATTTTGTTTAAATTGGGTCTTCTTTGGATATATATATATACAGTACGATGAAGAAAGATTAACATAAATGGAAAGATGAATATTATCAATTGAATAAGAGAAAGTGTAACGTATTCAACGAAATGACTTGTAAATCATAACGACTGTTTACTGCGAAGATACGAAGCATCCCTGGCATGACACTTGTTTTTAATAAAATACGCGTGCACAGTATACGTGGGCAGAATAATTATGCAAATAACGCCCACATGGGCCTACATCTATACTCTTGTTGACACGATATTGAAGCAAGAAGGAAGCAAAAATAGAGTATCACGAAAAATAAAAATAGATACGGATAATATTTACTTCTTAGGGCTTGTTTCACATCGATATCCACAAAATGCGCAAAATCTTTCTTTAATATTAAACATTTGAAAAGTGTATAATACGTAGACTGCGGATTTTATGCATTCATGACCAAAAACGATGGAAAAATTTGAGGACATCGTCGCATTATCTTCGACTTTTCACAATTATCGGAAGAGAAAGAAGATATCTTCATTCAACTTTCTTCCAACTAACTCAGAGAATTTTTATTTTGCACAAAGGTCCGCAGTCCGACAGAAGTTTCAAATTCATCTGTTGCTCAATCTTTCGATTCAACACGTATTTCATTACAAATAATTACGAACACAAGTCAATTTTTTTAATTTGCGAACGGATGAATTTGATTTGCCAAAGGATTAGTTTCGCGTGCAAAACCTGTAATCAGTTTTTTATGGTGCTCTTTCGAAGGTAGTGTTCGTGACAAGTGAAAAGTGTTCGAACGCGTGAAATTAGTTGATAAATACTTTTCGTCGAGCATTTGTGTGGACCACGATCGAACGAAGGAGGAAACGTCGTCGAACAGTAAATTGACTTGGATAAAGAAAGTTATAAAAAATTTCAGATAAGGATAGGCGACAAAGGGGTCAAGGGGCAGGGAGGGCGGGGGAGAGAAGGAAGAAGCCTTACTCCATCCAGGTGCTGGAACGATCAAACCGGAAATCATTTCCTCGCTAACCGGTGGATCGGAAGGCGGTGGTGGACAAACCAAACTCTCAATTATGTCATCCGTCACCCTCATTATACCCGTGAGATCCGGCGGTTCGGTTCGGGAAGACCTCATCATCATACACAGGCCAATCTCTTCTTGTAATACGCTTTCTAGATACATCATGTCTAGATCGCTTACAATGGCGCCATTGATCACCATGATCTCGTCACCTTTAATGATACCTAGAAGTAGCATAATAGCGTCCATCTTCAGACCGAAAGGTCAGGTCGGAGGGGGGGAACACGTGGTACAAAGTGGACGCGTGTTCGATTTACCGATGGCAAGCAATCTGCGCGAAAATCAATGTCCCTCAATGCCGTTCGAAATCGCAGGGTTACAACGCGTGTCGCAGGGAAAAAAAACTGTCGTCAAGGTCGTGTATTCTGGCGTTTATCCGACCTTCGTTTTCAAATTAGATCGGAGAAAAGGGTAAATGAAGAATGCCGGGAGCCGATCGACCAATACGCGCGTGCCTTCCACATCAAATTACATTGTTCGTGTTTTAATTTTGATTGACAGGGTATTCCTCGAGACTGTTATGATTATTTCAAAGTCTCATTTCATAGGAAAGTCAAATTTTCTAGAGACATGATACTTCGTAAAAATGTAAATGTACCGTGGGTCAAAATGGACCCTGCATTCACTCTGCGTGGTATCATTTGAAAGTTGTATTACGGCAGACCTCGGGGCATACTTGTAATGATGTTGTTTGAAATATTATATCGAATATTGCTTACAAATTGTTTTATTTTTATATCAAATAAAAGTTGCCGAGATCTGCATTACAGAAGCTATACACATGCTTTTTGCAGAAAATGATTCTACGGATCGTCCACAAGAATCGATGGATCTCTGGTGGATGAGCAAAAGAGTATTATTTTCATTCATGTAAAATTAATTGTTGTACAAAATCTGTACTATTATTTTTATTTTAAGCCGAATTTCGGTGAAAATAATAGAAGTCGTGGTCTCTAAAGGAAGAGGAGTGTTTCGAAATAGAATACCCATTTTGCAAGTCTAGTAGAACAAGCAATTTGCTGTCAACCCTTGCATCCAAAATCTAACATCTGATTTTATATGATTTACATTATTGTTTGCATTATATTGCATACGCAAATATTGATTATATTGCTTACTTTAACTGTGCTCCTCTGCACAACCAGTAACTCTGGTATACTCTTTTGCTCGTGCACCAAAGAAATAAAGATGTGTCACGTAGATATGAAAAAATTCCGTTACTGAAGGATTGAACGGTGGAAGAATCTGTTGTCGAGTGAATTCCCGAACGACAGCGACTTACCATTTTGCATGGCCACACTCTTGTCCTCCACTCTGCTAACATAACAACACAGTTCGTCCTGTCTGTCAGAATTTTCGATCAGCTCTGCCTCCACCGAGAAGCCCCACATCTGTTCGAGCGTGTTTCTTTGCAATTCCACCTGGTACAAAATTTTCGCGCACACTTCGACGATCTCGTGGGTATGCAACTGAAACAAGCATTACCGATATATCGAACTTTGTTGTTCATCGTCTCACAGCATGATGTAAGGAGGATATCTGGCAGCATGATACAAGAATGATGTCTAACAGCATGATACAAGGATGACGTATGACAGCACGATACAAGGATGTTTAATAGCACGATACAAGGATGATGTATGACAGCATGATACAACGATGGTGTCCAACAACATAATAGAATCGGTGCTTACGTAAGTATCTATGGCGTCAGTCCTGTGAGGTACGAAGTAATTATGGTCTTCCATATCGCGTCGCTTTTTCACACGGACGAAATGCTCCATCGGGTTCAGGTTCTTCCTATTGCAAGCGCTTGCTAGGAATTCCTCTACCGTCATTGCATCGCGTAGTAGAACAGACACCAACTGAAAATCGGGACAAGTAATTTTCTATTCAGCAGTCTCTCTCTCTCTCTCTCTCTCTCTCTCTCGAAATTGACGGTATTAAGAATACTAGTGGACATGATTGCAGATTTACAGATATTTAATTATTTAATTATCTTCTTTAGTTCCTCACGTAAATACAGTAGAACCTCGATTATCCAGTTTGTGAATATCAGAATTTTTCATTCTACAAATACGTTCCACGATCAGTCAATCTAAGGCAACCCATGTGCAAAACGATTTACTATACAAATGAGATTTGACACTGTTTTATTATTCGAACACTCATGTCGCACTGCTTAGTTCGGATAATCGAGGTTCTACTGCAGTCGTTTATCGATGTTTGGAATTTAGTAATTTGTGTATGTCGCAATTCAATGTTTCTTGCAGCACATTGTACAGTAGCGTTAGACTGTATTAAGTGAAATGCCAATAAACGTTATCCTTCTTCTTGTAAAGTAAAAAAAGATGTTTCGAATCAAAATTAAAGTAATGATTTTTTTTATTAAACAGCTTGCAACAATTACTCCATTTTCAAGATGTTAACGATAGACTGCAGGACTGGAGGACAAAGCAGTCACAACACAAGATCGTTATTCTTAATTATCAAACTGCAAAGAGAAATTTTTATCTCTTCTTAATGAAACTGCAGATCTTTATGCAAATATTCATTTTCATACGTCATTTCACAAAAATTAAATTGACCTTTTCAATTATATTCGTGTTATATGAATGCCATTCAAATCATAAAACTTGTACCCACATGACAATGATATTAGGATCGGGTGACTAATTAGTGTCCCGTTGGTTTGTTTTCAGGCATAATTTACCGACCCTATATTTATCGAATATGACATATTATATCTTTTTAATCAAAAAATAAACAAAATAAAAAATAAACAAAAACTTCAATGAAGAAAACAAAATAAAATAATATATAAAAATAAAAGAGTGAACAAATTTGTTTATTCGAAAATAAATAAAATAAGAGAACATAAAGATATGTAACGTGTCCTGTTCTGTTCTAACATTACTTGTGTATGAATATAAAGTTAATTATGTCCGAAATCATACCAAAGGCACCGCAATTGATCACACCACAGTAACGCGAGCTTCACTAGCCTATAAATCATACGAAGATCACGGTAAATCAAAATTTTCCTCAATACCATGAATTAAACTAAATGTAGCCTTCAAAGTTTCTTTCGTCAACTAAAAGTTTGCTCCTTGTAAAAGGAAACTGAGAATGCTATTGGACCTCGTTAATTTACACATTCTCTTGCATTTTAAGCAGTCCACAACGTTGTCCACAAAAATGCGCGAATCGCAAGAGGCTTACTTGGTTTTCGGGCACGCATACTTTCACACTCTTCTCGTCGTCCCTGGAGGAGATTTGAAGGGATCGCCTGCTAGATCCACTGTTGGACCTCGAGAGCAACGGTGGTCTTCTTTTGGTCGCTCCTCGACCGGACAACAGATTGTTCAGCAACGAGCGGCTCCGCGCGCAGATAAAAGCGTGGAAAGACGATACCGTGAAGACGCCCAGCTTGTTCAACGTTTGCTTCGTGGCACGCGATACGTGCGTCAACAAGCTCTGCAAAGAGTAAGAAGTACGTTGAATCGCGGCAATCCTGGTCTCAGTATCGAAAGGCTGCCCCCTACTAATCTAGCGGAAAATGGCGCTTGTAAAACTTGCACGGGATTCTATTTGCGGGGTTCAAGTGATCGATACGGATGAGTCTTGGATGTTAATGGAGGATACACGGTCCCGGATATATCGGGACACCCGCGGACGGCCTGCACGCGATAATCTAGCCTGCATCGTTTACCGTTCTTTCTAATAAAATTCGATCGGTGACGATAGACTGAAAAATTGTGCGTGTATGGTCTCGAATGTTCGAAACGAATCCGGTGCATCTTTGAAAAAAAAAGTTATCGTTTATGTGTAGAAAAGCCATACGTTTTTCGTTCCTCGAAATATTCCCCATTTTGGTGATTTTGTTCCGTCTTTCAGGCGCTCGATGAATCCCCGCATGGAAGAAAAAGTCGAACGTTTTAAAATGTGTGTCAGTCAGAGATAATGTTCAAGTGATCGAAAGGGACAAATGATATACAGATCATTGCCTCGGCCTCGGCATCGTTTTCCTTCGATTCAAATGCGGAAAGAATGCAGTGTCTAATTACTGATTTATCGAACCCGATCGTCGTTGATGTTTCTCGAGCATCCGGTCATTGTGAAGTTATATATATATATATATATATATACATGTATCGTATAGTGCTCTGTAAATGCCACAGTCAGAGAGCCTGGTAATTTACTTAATGAAAAGTCACCGAATCAATCTCTGCACTTAATACAATTTGGTTCGGCCCAGTTAGATTTCTACGATAAACGAATTATTCTTAATCGAAGCCGTACAAAGAATAAACGCATTGTTGACTCCGCTGCATTCTTGGCACCTCTTTCGACCCAATCACATTTCAACCCTTAAATGGATCATGTCCTATTGCATACTGTTTCAGAGATGTTGAAAAAGAGACCAAGACAGATATACAGAGAGATCCTTCGTAATATTTCCTACGACTCCCTGATCGGTAATCGACTGTTCATAAATGTTTCGCGAGAAGTTTTGAGAGAATGCGTTTAGCACTGTTTTGCATCGAATCGTGTTCCCGTTTTACCAAGATCGGTTTCGCGGTCGGCGAAAAGCGTTTAATGTAATGTGTCGCTCCTTTCTCAACATCAGTTCAAGCGTATGGATATCAACCGTGGCTGCAGCAGGATTAAAAGCGATGCGGGAACCTGTGGCTGCTTACTTTTGGATTAGGTAACTCGCCGCTTTGCAGACTAGCCATGTAGCACCTGAGACGAAATTGCTCGCAATGGAGCCGTTCCAGATTTTCTTCCCACTGGACGATCTGGTTGTTGATTTGTTGCTTCGTTTCCACGTCGGACACGACGGACTGCTGCAGATCAGCCATATGCTTTAATTTGTGGTCCTGCGAATACGAAATGCAAAAACGTTTCACGTTGCACATTTTTTAAACCGATTTTCCTTTCCAGTCTTGCAGCGAATGCAGCTTGGTTCTAAGCCCTCGGGTAGTAGAGTTAATTTCTTTTTATTCGAAAATGAACAAATTAAAAGAGTAAAATAATTTTTTATTCATCAATTATTTCCGAAACCACTACGCTATACTGCAAATTCTTATGCAAAATAAAGAAGCTTCAATCCTAACAAGTTGATAGATTTTGATTTCTTTTCTTAATATGTTCAACCCTTTGCACCATCGCAACGAGTTAGACTCGAGCTAGGAATGAAAGTAAATTCAGACACGCGAAACAAAAAAATTGTCTCGTTCCATTAAGGAAATTATTAAGGAGCTTTATTGAATTTCTAAGCAACGTAGCTGCAAAAGAGATCGTAGTGCAAAAGGTTAATAGGTTGAGACGGTGTGACACTATTTTTAGGTTCTCCTAATATAGGGCATTCGAAAAGAGAACGAGGAAATAAAAGAAGCAATAATTGTTCATCAGAAAGTTCGGTAGATATAAGTTAGTATAATTTAGAATAAAAATTTAGATTAAGTGCACTTTATACAAATGTGCAATTAATATATCCTAAAACCTTTTGTACGAATGGTGAATAAATATTATTATTATATAGTTACACTGTATATTGGTGTCCTGCACCCTTCAAGACTTTAACCTTTTCCGCTCAAAGCCATTTTAACTCGAAATCTAAAATAGTTTCTCTGACCTATAGTATTTTCATTTTATACATACAAAATTGAATTTTGTGACTCCAGCAATAGTTACACTTTGCACAGTGTTTTGAACGTAAACGAATTCCATGATATTAAAATCAATTTGAAACGTGGTACAACAATTTTTGATGGCGTCTCAGAGTCATCGTTCGAGCGCATAAAATTAATAACTATTCTAAAGAAATAAAGAGAAGTTCTTCTAATGATCTTACTGTTTCGTGTCGCTTCTATTCATCTTCGTCGTAAACGCATCAAATCCGCGGTCTACTAATTACTTACCGATTCTATTGCCTTCTCCAATCGAAAGATCTCTTCCTGCAGCAAATGAAGTGTGCCGGTCTTGCCGCGATGACGAGCGAATGCAGCAGCGCAAGCCGAATGGATGCTGTTTACCCAGTTCTCGAGCTCCACTTGACAGGGTGCCTAATGCAAACGACCAACATTTACATCTCTCCACAACGTGCTTCTAGATTTGCAACGGAAGCGGCGAAGTGGCATGATCAAATGCGCCGAAAACATGGAGAATATCGTTTCTTTTGTACGATGTTTTTATCAGAAATCTCTAAATCTGAAAGAATGACATTACGCCGGTCAGAATAACGCTTCTTTGTTAGTTATAAATTGGAAGACGCTATTTGGAAAAATCAATCTTCATGGTGCAGGAAGGTGAACAGGATCAATTGTCTACAGTAAAAAATGATAGCGTCTCGTTAAAAAAAAATTGCTTCGTTTTTATGGAATTTGTATATTTTTGGAACAGTTCAAGATATCAGTATTCACGTAAACGGGGAATTGCCGGCTCGTCTGACCATGGCTGCCCTTCCCTACTTCTCGGAAATTGCGATGCTTACACGCTAGACAAACTTTGGAAGTCAATTATCTTAAAAAGGAAGTCCTATTTTAAGACACTTGTACGAGACTTTTACATCTACGTTGTGCGACAGTATCAATTTTAATTTTATTTTATAAAATTGATTATATAAAACGGATTATAATACAACGTGGATCGATAAAATATTATTCAAAAACAGGAAAGCATAAAGCGAAGAGAATCTACAACTGGTAAACAACGGGTTCGTTACGAATAAACATTTAATATCGATAACGTACTATTAAAGAATATATAATATTCTTATAAATCGAGTGAACTGTTCCGCAAACTCCAAGCTGTTATATTTGCCGGATAATGTGCTGCGGAGGTTTAATGAAAAAGCTATAGTTCGCTGTTGTGTAAAAGTCAATAACCCGAGGCGTGACGACACAGGATAATAATCATAACAATAAACTGCCATAGGTGTATTAGTAGAGAAAGATCGCGCCGTCCTTCACCGATCAGCTACGACAGAATTTATAATTAAAACCGCATTCGAAGTAACGAGTAAAAGAATTGAAGAAAAATGTCCTTTGATAATGTCCATTGGAGCATGTAGAAATATATCGAGGTAGGTACTATTCGCGGTAGAAATAAAGAATGAAATTGGCAACGTGAAACACTATGTTGTAACACTTGGAATTTGTTGACATTACGTATTGATAACGTGGTCGTTCATATTTTTAATAATTCAGTTCTATTATATCAGAAGAAATCTCGTTTCCACAACGTAGAAATACTTGAAGTGAACTACCAGTGACACGAATCGAAAATAATGCAGCAACGATGACGCGGTTACAAGATTTCGTATACTTTCTTAACATGTCGTGACTTCCTTCCATTTGTAACAACAGTTAGGTAGAAGCTCGAACGTCGTGGGAGAAGAACGAATTTAGACTTTAATATTCAAAGCATCGCGAATGCGGTAAAACACGTTTGCAACGTTCGCGAAACTCGCCGAAGAACTTATTATTCTCCTGGAAAACTGTCTATAATCGAAGACGACGGTCTCCGATAGCATTTCCGATTGCTTCGCGACAAGAAAAGCAACTCCGTTCGCTCGCGTCTTGCAAAAACGTCGGATGATCTCCAGAATCTAATGCCGTCGCGAAAGTTCCGCGGGTGAAACACACTCGAAAAGTTCTAAACAACGCGGCACGCGTACGCGAGGATGGAACACCGATTCCGTACTCACTTGGAACAAGTACGCGTCGCCGAACGCGGTGCTCAGACAGAAAATGTAGTCCCTTTTCGGATGTTCCGGGATCGGTTGCATGATCGCGCCATCGACGATGATCAGATGCTTGGGCGCCGCTTCCATGGTTCTGCTTTCCTGGGACTCGCACGGATAGAATAGCAGCGTGGTCCCCTTCAAGCAGACCCAGTAATCCTTCCATCCTCTTTTCCTCGCGAGCTCGATCTGATGTTTTTTCCGCAAGAGCCATTTCTTCACGCTGAGGAACCTGCGAGCAGCGATCGATCCCCGATCATTACCGCGGCTCTTCTCGATCATCGCCTCGTCCGATCACCGATCGACGACACTTACCCTGCCTTTCGAACCGCCCCGGTACAGTTGAAGGAAGCCGCGGCGGTGTCATTCTGTTTGCCACGGTACGGCGAGTTGATCACGCTCTCGCCGTCGTCGTCGTCGCTGACAGCGGTCGTCAACGACATTCTGTCGTCGTCGGACATCTGCAACATTCGGACATTCTGATTCTCCGGTTGCTCGACCGGTCGGGCACGGTGCGAGCGAGCAATAAAGTAGAACCGAGACTCGTCATCGGCATTAAATACAGAGAACTACGTGAGAAATGACAACCTCGATCGCCAGCGAAATTGCCGTGTGTAATTATTTATCGTCTACTGTGTATGATATAACCATCGTAAACTTTGTAGAACATACATATCCTAGGTACGAATACACCGGGCTCGACATCGGAGTGGCGCGTGCACTGAATTTACACAGTTTCAAAGAAAAGGAAGATCGGAACCGAGAGACGGCCACGGTAACAACGACTGGGACAACGGGAGAACGGAGAGAGACGAACACGCAACGGCGTTGTGTACGGTGCAGAAGGAGAGTGTGATCTAGCAACAGTTTCATGAATAATTACCGTGAATAACCTTGAATGTGTGTAAATAGATATCGACATTTTATAAAAATAGTACACCATCCGAGGAACTCTAATCTCCATCTACCGCGGGAATGCCGGTTCGAGCTAACATGGACGTGTGGCATGGATTTTAATGCAGTAAATGGTCCATGCTCGTGGGGAAACGTCGAATGCAGTTGCATCGTGGGGGGTTAGGCGGAGAGGGGGCTGGCGGACGAGGTGGGGTGGGTTGCTTTGTTCAATGGAACCGATAAAAATGAAACTGAAGGCAAAGGTGACAACGCACCGAATGGCACGGGTGTTCGTGAACGTGATATTTCAAAATAGTAAATATATACATAGAGAGACGAGTGGGGGGGGAGAAAGGGGGTAGAAACAAAGTGGGGAACACGAATATTACGGGAGGGTGGGAAGGACGGGATGGTGGAGCGTGGGACGGGAACGGCAACGGTAAAAAAAGTAAATATACATCGGCAACAGAGCAACAAAACGATTACGCGGAAACTCGTGTCTACCTTTTTGGCATAATTCGTCATACCGCGGAGCTTGTCGCGCAATCCTCTAAAGCCTTCGCCGGCCCAGAAACTTACAACTTTTTTCAGAAAGTCGGCGTTGCACGCGTCGGCTGTCATGTGCGGATGGTAATGACAGTAGCAACCCTCCTTTAACAGCTTCATGTTCGTCTTGGCGGTGCCGTTGATCTTGTACATGATCTCCTTGCGTGTCAGGCTGAGGCCGTCGATGTAATGCTGTGCCCAGGTGTTCAGGGCGCCGTCGATCACCCTGAGCAGCTTGTAATAGTAACCGTCAAGGTTCACCTTCTCCCGGACGTTCCTACAGTTGAACCAGTACAGTTTCCGCGAATCGTTAATGCATATCACGCTGATCGTGTGCCTTCTGCAGAGACAGAAGTACTTCTTGCAACGTTTCTTGTACAACGACCTCAGGTCCGTGTAGCTGCTGCTCGGATTCAGCAAATTCAACGTGCTATTCGTGCATTTGATCGCCCATCTCGGCTCTACCATTATTCGTGGTTGCTTTGTCCCTCTCGCCGTGCCGAATCAAAGAACAACCGCCGACGTTGCCGTCATCGGGAACAGAGAGACGGACAGGTCCGCGTCGAGGAGAAACATTCCGTAATCGGTCATTTCACTGGCGCTGTTGCGAGGACAGTGTCGCTCCTCGGAGGACGAAAACAACGTGACCGCAGTGTCAATGTCTCTTTCGATTACCGCGACGCACCGAATCGTATCGATCTCTAAATGCAAAAGATTCGCCCGATAAGCATTCGTCACGTGGCCTCTTTCCGCGTGGTCTTCTTTCTCGCGTCGCTCTCAGAATTCTTTCCCTGGCTCGCGGGTCCTTAGAGTCTGCTCGAGAAGGGCCGCGACCAGTGGTTCCAGGTCCTTTGCGAGCACACGCAACAGACTGATTACGAGTGTGCACGCGAAGTAGAACATGCAGAGCCGACTCGCGTACAGCATGTTTCACGGGGTGAAAATAATGACTTTGTTCGATCGCTCGGCGATACCGATCATTCCGGTGGTGGTAGCCAGGTGAAAGAGGGACGGGAAGGCGAGGGACCAGGGACGTGGTCGAGGGTGGGAGTAGAAAACACGAAAAGAAGAAGCACAAACCCTCCTGTCGGTGCGAGAAACTTACGATCCACCATCGGCGCCGCTGCCACCGCCGCTACCGCCACTACCACCGGCCACCTGGTCTGTTTCTGATATTTACTCTCACTCTTGCTCTCTCTCTCTCTCTCTCTCTTTCTCTCTCTCTCTTTTTTGTATCGACTAAATCTTATTGTACGTACACGTCTACATATATTACATTATAGAGATAGCGACCCAACCGGCGAGACGGAACGTCTCCGTTCGATTGTTATTTTGTACACACGATTCTAATCGCTACTTAAGGCAACTAGCCCTTTGCACTTTATTAGAGATCCCGCGAGATATAGATATATGTACAAATATATATCGGCTCCCTCTTTCGTACGATCCTGAATATTATGCGGCTGATTACTATACGCTGTTCCCCGCGATCGACATTTCCAGCGGGTGAAACCGTTTTATCCGTCGTTTCGTTCACTGGATGAATTCTGTGTTCGTGAACCCGTCTCAATCCTATACCTCGTTCCGAGGCATCGTACGGAAACGATCGTTGCTCTCTCGACGGAGATCCTCGTTTTCCATAGCACCACCGTCGGCGATTCTCCCAGCAAACATTAGACAAACATTCGTTCGAGTCGATCGACAAACGTGAAAGCGATCGTTCAACATATCCGCTTCCTGGCTACCGATGTCCGAATTATTCGTGAACGAGTAGACCTTGTTATTCCGCGATTAAAAGTAAATATATAGAATATTTTTGGCAATACACGCGTAGAAACGAACTCTCCGTATAAAAATATGTTACGTTTTCTCGATATCACTGTTTTCCCTCTTTTCTTTTTCTCTCTCTCTCTCTCTCTCTCTCTCCCTCTCTCTCTATCTCTCTCTTTCTCTATCTCTATCTCTCTTAAGTATACATATAGGTTAGTAGGTACATATCCTTCTATTTTTTTCTGTTATATTTTTGGTTTTTGTTCTTTTTTTCCAAGCGTCGAATGAGGTTCTTCCGAAATCTCCTGCTCCTTCTCTTTTAGCTCTTTTCCCCTATTGTCTACCCTCTTCCCTCTTCCCTTCCCCTAGTTTCCCACTCCTTCGCTATTTTCATCTCGGTTCCTCGTTTATTCTACCTTTACCTTTCTCTCTCTCTCTCCCTCTTTCTCCCTCTCTCTCTCTCTCTCTCTCTCCCTCTCTCTCTCACCCTTTCTCTCTCTCTCTCTCTCTCTTCTCACTATATTTACGCGTATTCTTTGTACTCGAAACGAACAACGAACCGTACTGAAACGCTACTCAGCGGGAAAGGTCAGCTAGCCTTCCCTTTCCCGTTGTTTCCGTTCGACTTGTCCCGTTTAATCGTGGATGATCGGCGGCGATTCCGATCCGGGGGTCTTGGAGAAAAATGTCGTGAACGCGCAAGAACGGGAACGGACCGCGAGTGCCGGAAAGTAGTATCAGCAGAAGTACTAGTAGCAGCAATGAGATATATAACCAGGTACCTAATCACTCGTGCGTACAAACACGAACGCTAATTCTCGCCTACGATACGGGGGCCTAGCTAAAAACCGCGTCGGTGCATAGTCGTTCCCCGTCGACGTCACACGTGAGCCTGCACGTGCCCCGAAAACTATACGACTGCGAATCGCGCGACGACGACCACGACCTGCCCCGTCCCGCTCGGCGAAAGAATAACAACAACGTTCCCTCGGCCCGGGGACTTCTCCGACGCGATCATCTGCGATACGATTTTGCTACTTGAGACGGATCGGGCCGGCGGAGAGCTACGCCGAAACGTTCCAGATCGGTTACGGTCGATCACGATAGAACTCTATATCCGGCAGCGACCGACGCAGAGAAAAATCATTCACGAGCATCCGACGCCTTTTCTTAACGTATGACGAGCGGATCTGGCGTGTGCCTCCAGTAATCCTCGAGAGTATCACTCGTATCCCCGTCCATCGTGATATATCCGTGATGTTCCGCCGGATAAGCTCCAGAGGGTATCGGTGTGCCAGCTCCTGGAGGAAACCGCCAGCAGGTCAGGAGCAAACAATATTTACCACCTCCGTTTAATCAGAGAAATCGAGTGTTAATCGATCGATCCCTCGGATTATTCGCGGACTGTGATAATGATTATCCAGCTCTTTCGACTTTCCGCGAACGAGTGGTAAATTAGTAGTGTCCGCAGCCGCGAACGCGCGTTGCTCCAGACTACTGCGCTGGAGAACAGGGAAGAGGAGAGAGAGCTGCTACCCGCGAGGGGAATCAATACCGCGGCGGTCCTTGTGGAGAGAGAGCGAACGGGGGGGGGGGCGATAGAGGGAACGAACACGGCACGGACGGACGGACGGACGGACGGACGGACCACCAGCCAGCAGCCGGTGCTAGTAGGGAAACGAAACCTGGGTGAGGGGATACGCGAAGAGGTCGCGGAACCGGGAAAATGGGTGACGGCATAGAAGGGGTGACAGACAGTGGGAGACGAGACGCCAGCCCGAGTGGGGGATGTTGCTATTTGCTAGTTGCTATTTGCTAGTTGCTAGTCGCTGGTTGCTACCGCTGTCTCGCTATCGTTGATCCTACGGCGGGCAGTGTGGTGAAATGGTAATGTTGTGACAAAATCAAAGAATTTCTGATGGAGATGATATGCGATGCTACTTTTTTTCTATGTTACAGCTGAAATGTAGAATGAGGGGAAAATAGAGAGAGGATCTAGCATGAGTAGTTTTTAATCTTGAAAATTTATGCTGAAGTTAAAATATTCCAACGAAACTGTGATTTATCCGACACCATGTACAGTTTCACTTTTTTTTTTCAACAACGTGTTCGGGTTGAAGCACCTAACATGAAACACCGCTCAATTGTGACCCTCAATTTGAAACGGTAGCTCGAACAATGCGATAAAATTTTGCCCATATGTTTGAACATTGTTCTTTATAATTTATACTGTTCCGTATTGTGTACTTCAATTTTTCTCATCGTCCTGATTTATGGAACACGGGGACACGGCACGAGAACGGTTTACCGTACTAGATGCACGCTCGTGCTTCATTATTTTATTCGTATTTTTTGTTCACATTAAAGAAATATTTCAAACTTCGTTATGTTACCTAGAAACATCAATCTGTTTGTTTAAAATCGATGGCAATCTTATACAGCCTGAAAAGCGTTCCGTAACATATAATTGTTACCTTATACTAAAGCTCTTACTTATGAGATACTCGAGTACCCGGGTTATACTCGTGAGACACCCGGGTAGACAAATATTTGCCGAGTACAGTAAATTCTCCCCAATTTTCCTTCAGCTTGTAAACAAAAATGGACAATTTGGGAAGAGGAGATCCGATTATATGAGCCTCGCGGCTTATTTTTATAGTTACCGATTGTCAACGATTATAAAAACGAGATACAAGGCTCGAATAATCGCATCTCCATTTCCCAAATTGTCCATTTTTGTTTACAAGCTGAAGGAAAATTGGGGAGAATTTACTCTACTCGAGTATTTCATAAGATATATGAGATATGAGGAAATAAAAAATAATAATAAAATCACGTACAATTGATAATACGACTAAAATTCTAATCTGATAGTATAAAAATTGAACGGTGATAATAAGTGATAATATATCATAAAGTAATATGAAGAATTGATTTCTATTTTACGTTTGTTATTCTTGAAATGTAAAGTCTAATGCACTTGAAGGTGCATTAGTTATAAAAAGTTTCATACTTCGTTCTTTCTATTCTTCCCTTATTCTACAACATTTCAGCTTTAACGCAAGAAAAGATCGTCGCTTTATTTCTCATTTTTATCAAGAAAATTCCTTGCTTTTGAGACAACTTCATCGTTTCACCCCACAGCGCGGCGGCGGCGCACAACTCTTGCACCACCTGAATGCTCATGTTTCGGATTCTTCGGCAAGAGCGGTTTCGCGTTATCGAATTTCCCATTATTATTTCGCAAATTTTGCGCTCCGTTTGACAAATCGGAACGTACGATCACGGTTGTCTCACTTTCCAGTTCTAATTACGTTAACCGTCGGAATTGAATGGTGACAAGAGTAACGTTTAAGATGAGAATTGGAATCGGTAACATTCGTTTATCAAGCGAACGATGAAAATTGGGTAATATGGGAACGTTCTAGATTCTGTTACCGAATCTCGTTACCCTGAATACGTGTAATGAATTAATCGTAATGCATATACAAGTAATGCTAAAATGACGTATGGATTAGTTATGGATTAGACAACGTTACTCGCTGCATTGACGACGTGTAACGTTGTAATGAGATTCGGTAACAGATGTAGTATCTTTGTGTAACGTTCTGTTACCACATTGTGTTCTCTAAACAATATGAAGTCTAGACAGTGATGCGTTATCGCTTAGACCATATGCAGGGTGTCCCAAAATTATGTTACTTTCGGGAAATGAGCGGTTCCTGTGGTCATTTGAAGTAACTTTTTCCTTCGCGAAAATGCCTTTGTTTACGAGTTATTAACGAAGAACGCTGACCAATGGAAAGGCGAGCTCGATTTCTCGCGAAGTTATGTCAGAGTTATATACAATATACGGATATTTCCGATGTGTACTTAAATGTGTGTCCGCGATAAATGTGACAGTTAAATGTAAAAATATAAAAAAAGCTTTATAATTGTCGCAAAATTAAGAAAAACTATTTTGTTGTTTATCAATATGCGTTGCGATCTTGTGAAAAATATAGTTGACATCTGATTACTTGTCCATTTTATTTTTATGGAATCAATGATATTTCATTATGTTAACTGTACGTAAGTATATGGTCGCCACCGTGAATGGTCTAAGTGTAACAGCATACACAGTCACTCGTTACGTGGATTGTACAGTTTGGTAACAGATCAGGACGCGCCTTGAGAATACGAAGAATCACTCGTATGAACATAAAGGGCATAGTAAACAACGAATTCCAGCAAAACCTTATGAAAATTGCTTGCATACATAAAATACCGTAGAATCTCGGTTATTCAAACGAAACAGGAGCACATAAACGGCTCGAATAATAGTGCAATCACTCAAGTGACAGATGAAATTTTTAGTGATTTCGACAGTAGATCGTGTTACATGTGAAACAACAGTGCACCACTCCAACTTTCTACCTAAGATACCAGACAATAAAAGAGGCCAAGTCGAACTATCCAGACTGATGATCAGACGTACAAGACTGACACAAATTCCACCTTCAAAATGAAAACTCCACCTCGATGTGAATTCTGTAATCTGCCACTCACGGTCTAAGATATACATAATTCTAAAGTGCACGAGGTTTAGACGAATCTAAAGCGAAATCTACAATTGGAATATGAAATATGGATAGTCATCGCTAACGACCAGACGGTCGATGCGATGTTAAAAAGTGAAGAAAGTAAAAGCGTTGCATATATGGATCACCTAGAGTTTCGGATAATCGAGGTTCCATTGGAAAGAAACTTTCGATTATGATATCGACGAGTGTACGGCGTCTTCGTGCAACATAATTAAGCGTTTCCGAGGGCTCAGAATATGTCTTGAAATTTTTATTTTACTTCATTTAAGAATATTATTTATTTTAAAGAACGACACATGGAAAATATTTAAGCGGTGACGAGAAAGGTGACGATAACTTTAATGCCAATTTTCTACTGATTTATAGTAAAAAGTCTAACGACGAAGTGGAATGTATTCGATGAGATTTTGCTGAAATGTATTGTTTATTACATCCTTTGAAACCGTACGATCGCTTTTGATCTATTTCTATCAAGAAATCTGAAACAATGAAAAATTTAGGTGTTGCTAAAGTTATGCACCGCAGTGTACTCCTGCTATTACTGTTGTTGCTCTCGCTACTGCTACTGCTACTGCTCACAGTTTTAGGGGATAGCACTCTCAAGATATCCTATCGAAAGCTACCAAGGGGTTGTTACATATTTTCTACGGGACTAATGCACAAGAAACGCGACACGATACGTTTTAATTTCATTTTAGTTCTCCTCGTAAAAATTCGAAAACCAGTCTTTTTAAATAAAATCCGGTGTAGAACGAATCATGGTGTCAATTCGGGCATAGCTGTTCGAGTCTACACAGTTCGAACGATTTTCGTTGTCGTTTTAAACAATTTAAACGTCATATTATTTAATTTTTCTGTGAACATTTCACTGGACGGAGATGTAAAAGCAAGATTTTCAAAAGGAAATTCGCGTTACATATCGGACGATCTGATTCGTTCCACGAGAGTTTCGATATGTTGCGCGAGATGATGTAAAGTTGCAGTTGTGCCTGACGGAAGATAGATCAATAAAAGACGAAAGAGTGATCAAAGTTTGTTGTGTCTTATCAAACGACGTTTGCAGATTCCATTGAATATACAGTAATACCTCGTTCGATGGTAGGTAAACTAACGTGGAAGGATTCTATTGTAATTTCGGACAATACCGATTACATTTAAGACAAAATCGTGTAATTATAATGTTATTGGAAAATTATTTTTCAGATTCTTCAGGAAAACATCGCGTTTCAAAATAATGGAGCACTACGTCAGAGTGCAGCGACTAGAGAATACTACACCCCCTGCCCCTCGCCTGTCTCGCGAGATTTCTTTGTACTTCTGCGGATTATACTTTCCATGCGATGATGAAATATATTGGAGTAAATGAACTAGGGTGATCAATAACTTATGACGCGTTACGATATCTTAATTTTACTCCCAAGTATAGCAACCGGATAATTAAATATTCAGTTCTATATAATGGTCATTTTAAACCATGAAGATCTTCGTGTAACAATTTGGAAAAGTGTTCCACAATTTTAAGTGGATGAATGTGATCAAAAGATTAAATTAACGTTAACTAAAAGGTTAAATTATCTTTAACTTAATTAATGGTTAAATTAACTTTAATTTAGCTGAATCTTTTTAGAATGAATACGACTGGCACATATCTATGAAACGTACGTTTTCAATTTTCAACAGAAGTTCGGATAAAAAAGTTTGGAAAATGTGTGTACCATTAGTATCTTTTAACTTTTTAAAAATGCTCGAACTGTTTACTTTAATCCTATAAAAGTTATTCTCTTTTAAAGAATCTTTAAATATTAATGAAACTACATGTTTATAATGTTGTTAACAGTGAAATATCGATATAATTTTAACTAAATCGTCTACAAAACTCAAAAATAACTATTATTATCTTCTTACTTCTTAAAAAATCTCAAACCATTTACTTTAATATTGGAAAAGAATTTTGAAGAACGTTGAAATATTAATAAAAGTAATATATTTCTAATTTTGTTAGTAAAATAAAATATCGCTATCTGCCTTTATCAATAATGTTCCTCATAATGACTCAGCTTCTTGGAAATGAAGCAATTCCTCTTGGCTAAGTAAGGCATTACTATATATCTAATGGCAATTCTACAAATCGTCCGCGAAAATCGTGAAATCTATTCTACGGTATTGTAATCGATGCAAAGGTAAAAGGAATGGTTGTTTGATTGCGGCGGTTATAGATCAGCAACAACCACGTACCGATACCCTACTTATCGTAACGATTCCAACAAGAAAAAAAAAGTACAGTCGAGAGAGAAAATCTTGGCGGCTCGAGGTATACGTTTGCGCATGCACCTGTTGACAAGGAAAATCTATCTTCGACTTCCCGACTATCCCGACCCCTAAATTACGGGGTCAGGTATTTCTTTCATATTTGTCTCTGGTTCTGTGCAGAAACCACTGTATCGTACTTGCAAAAATCTACACATGTACTCGTTATATTAAAAACAAAAGAAAAAGCAAAGATTTTGCACACACATTTTAAGCACATCTTATTCTTTAGCTAAAATTAAATAGATTCTGTTGACATTGATTTACCGAAAAATATCAATGCAAGAACACGAATTAAAATTAATGTAATTAAGAAGATTCGCAAAATTTGTTAACGCGATTGTTGTTATTATTATGGCAACAACAAATCGTATAAATTTTAATATACACTTGCGTATGGTTAATATACTGAAGCATTGATAATTTCTCAGAATCTGTTTAATTTTAATAGCAGTCTGTTTTTCGAAAAAAGATTCCCACTCGTATCATCGAACTAGCTTCGGGTATCCTGTTTCGAAAAAACAGAAAGCGGTGAACGAATCGATGCCCATAAAATGTTCAAAATATTCGCTACATTGTTTCGCGTATGCAAAACTTGGCAGGTCAATGCAGACTTTATAATTTTCAAATTTGACATCTGCACATTCTGATTGAAATACTTGGACGCGCTTCGACAGAAGCGAATAAATTGCTCTTCTGTTATAAATGTAATCCAGACAGCGTAAAAATGTCAACAAATCGAACGTCCTGTGCACCGTGTCGCGTTACATTACGCTGTGTGTGTGTGTGTGTGTGTGTGTGGATGAAAGATTCAGCTATTTATCAAGGTTCATCAAACAGATGTGCGGTTTCCTTGCGCCCGCCAATCGGCGCATTTACACACGCATACATATCCGCGTGCACAAGCTATAGTTGTAGCAATAAAATTCCATATTCGTGCGCGTGCGCTTCCGTCTGCTTTCGCGCAGGCGTGCAGATAATACAATTATCGATACTAAGAATTTCCTGCACGAAATTGCAGCATTGTTCGCCCGTTATTGCGTAAACCCGGCATAAATGTATCACCGATGCTGCGGGAAATCTCGAATTTCAAACTTGTCTATCTGGACTCGAAGCGTTCCGTCCAAGTATTCGTTTCAATCATGAATGAGTTTCACTACTTAAAATCACCGTCTTATCGCTTCGAGACGTATCAAAGAATTTCTAGACAATTCAGACTGTCGCCGATTTTCCTTGATGACATTTTCGCTAATATAGAAGGAAGGGCCCGTTTCGATGGTACCAAGAGTCCCGCGATACCGGTCGCGTCACTATTATAGTTAACAACATTGTTCGATCGACTCACCTCCGAGGACGTCAGGTAACAAAGTCTTGAATCCGTGCTCTCCAAAGAAGCCTGCTGCACGATCCCATATCTACTCTCTCTGTCGGACATGTAGTCGGATCTCACGCTGTCCTGTCTGTCGAAAGTGCCCCTGTAAAATGACAAAGAAAGAGCGTGCTATGCTGTCAAGTTGCAACGGGCAATAGAATAAATCGAAGTCGAGAATACAAGAAATCGCAGTGCATGAGAAAACAGATGGAAGAAGTTACATTAAAAAGAAATTGCACAAAAGGTCCTACTATTTTCGTTTCACACTTTGCTATGACTAATCGTACCAGTCGTAATTTTAGACTCGAAACCAACCTCCGAGTTGCTTCCAATTTTTAAATCATATACTCGAGGTGTTTAAAAATTATACTTCTACATTCTCGTTCAGCTACGTATGTACCTTGGAAATGAAAAATACTTAGCGTTCTTATATTGTCAGCAGTATTAATTAATTTAGAAATCATAGGGTAGGGAAGCCGGTTACTGTACGGTGACCAATTGCTGCGCCTTTGGCGTGTTTCTTAGGTATAGTTTACTTTACATTTATTGAATAAGACAAATCATATTTTTCTATTGAAAAGTAAACGAAATGATAGAATAAAGAGGTTTGACAAGTCTTGTTCGATAAATGTAAAGTTAATTATGTCTGAAGACGAACCAAAGGCACAGCAAAAATCCCACAGTAACCGGATCCACTACCCTAGTCAATCAGTATCGAAAAGAGCACTGTGTTTCCGTTTTCCAAGATAAGTAACTAAACCAGACTGAAAACAGAAATCTTAAACAATTAGCAAGTAATGCTTTATAAGTATCTTTGTTATCGAAATACAAGGTGCTTCGACCTCGGAGGTGACACGTACAAAAAATCAACTTTGCGGCATCTAGAAACAGTAACACCAGCTTTGTAAGATCTAGAAACCGTAGATGGGTGAAGATATGTGGGTCAACGAGACGACGAATGAAAACGTCCGGTTTCTCACCTCTGTTCCAAAGAGTCGGCCCGATTCGACTTGTACCCGCTGTCGTTCAGGCTGCCCTCGTGCCTGAGCGATGGCAAGGAGTCCCACGGAGACTCTCGTTTGTGTCCCATGTAACTTGGATTTATCGAGCTCGATGCACCGGATCCCAGAGTCGAGCTTCCCGATTGCCATCCGTCGGAATGCCGGAACCAATGCGCGCGAGCCGATTCCCCGCTGCAGCTGGCGCATCTTGAAATATCATTGATCACGCATACAGTCTGTCCAATTCATGCATCATCTTTCAACGTACTCTCTTTCACTGGTCGACCATATCCGATAGACCCTAGCAGACGATATCTCAAACGGAACACCATAAACAACCCGATAATTACCTGGAGTTGTAGTCGCTCAGGTAACCGCGGTCTCGATCGACGTCCCGCTCCCTCTTCTCCCGCACCATTTCGTTGCGGTCGCTGTAGTAGCCGTCCCTGTCCTTGCTGTTTTGCCTTTCGTTGCAGTATCGGTAGGACAGCGGCAACGTCGACGACTTGTTGTTGGAGCCAGGACCTGGGAAGCACGAGCAACATGTTGAATGAAGTCTAGAGCCGGTGACACGGCTTAAGTAACTCGACTTACGTCTCCGCGACACGTGAGGTGTGCGCTGCACGTTCAGTGGTATGTTTTCCGCCATCTCTGCAACATTCGAAGCGTTTGGATAGGTCGTTATCATGAGATTGCGGAACACTCGATCAGATTTCGAACGGCTGTCGTCGGATTCTCGGTGACACGTTCAGTATTTTGCGACCAGTGAAATGGGATCGTTACCTTGCCGCAATGGTGTTCAATGCAAAAGTTGATGCAGGCCGAACGATAGCCGAACTTTCATTTCGCGTGGAACTGTGTTGACACGCACAGTTGGGTAACAGTGTTTGACGTGTAGAACGCGTCTATGGGAATCCGTTGACAGCAGGTCGTGCTACCTTTTTCTCGAGGACTGTAGACCTTGTCTGGTCGGGAGGATGCGGGAACGAGTCGGAAACTCACCTAGGTTCTCCATGCTCTGGGTGAAGAGCGCCTCGAAGGTGCGCAAGCTGTAACTCTCCGCGTCCATACCCTTCTCCAAGGTGTTCCTCAGGTGCATCTCGTACTCTAGGAGCAGCCTGCTGGTCGGGCTGCCGGGCGTCGAGACGGATTGCATGTTTTGCTGTTGATATGTCTGGCCGCTGTTGCAGTGCCGCGAGTTACAATGACTGGGCTGCTCCATGTCCGAATTGCCGTTCGACGAGCTCGGCGTGGTCGCGTAACACTGATTATCGAAGATGACATTGTCCGACGGCGGCGACATGTCACCTGTGCACCGATTACGTTCCGAATCTAAATACGGCCTGCCTCTGCTGCCTACGACAAAACAGGTGCCCCCTCGTGCAGCAATTCGAAACGGCGACGATGTTCGGACGAAAAGTATCGTTAGAGTTAGGTGTCCCGTTCGGGACGGTTCAACGATGCTTTGACATGCGCCATGCACCATGCGCCATGGACCCCTGCTGACCGATCCACGCACCCCATGTCACTTTATTTATATAACACGCCGGGTGCCTTTCCCTTTTTAAACGTTATGACATTAAGCGGTGATATGCAACCGCGCGCGAGCGCGCGCGCATACACACGCACACACCGCACACGCGTGCCGACCTCTCGCGTAAAAGTCAACTATGTCGGCGGCTTAACCCCTTGCCTTATCAATTATCTCCTGACCACCCTGGCGAGTGGCGATTCATTTGTTAATCTAGTTTCCAAGCAGAGGCTGAACTTGTCGATACGACGTAAGTATGTGTTTATTTTAAACGATTCGTGTTTGTACGCACTGAATTGCACCGGGTGCAGTTGAATTGATGGCGCGTCCAGGGAAAGGATGATTTCGTACGAGAAATATATGTTAGAAATATGTGGTAACCTTTTTCCATTTAGGATCTCTTTTTCAAAAGGTTATTTTAGCCGAGAAACTTACGCCACGGTTTCAGTGAAATTGATTTTTATTAATACATGGGAAATAATACGTTAACAATCCATTCTAGAACTACCAAAACGATTGCTTTCTGATATTTTCATTTACGGCTACTGAAATTGTAAAAACATTCCTATCAGAGACTGTTGGATGAACTTCTTTGTGTGTGTGTTCGAGCATACACAATGGCGACCATATACTTGAGACCATTTGAAAAACGGTGTAACTTTTTTCAAACTGGACTAAATTGCTCGAATATTTTTTTATAGATCAGAAGGACTAGCCTATTAGACAATGATTAAAATACTTCTTTTTAATGTTTCTTTTACTTGGAATGGGGCAAAAAAACTCATGTTCTTCAACTTTTTTATCTGAGCCTATAACGAAAATATAGAAAATGCGTTTTGTGGATCTCGGTAACTTGTTATGCATGCTGAAAATTTCATCGAAATCAGTTGACGCAGATTCAAATTACAAGTGTTGAAAGGTTTGAAAAGACTGCGGATTTCTTACAGTTATTGGTCGAAAGTGTCGAAAATCGTGACAAAACTGCGATCTTTAAATGTTTGCAGCACATATCAAGGTCATCCGATTTCGATAAAATTTTCAGCATGCGTATAAGTTACAGATATCTACGAAAAGCAATTTTTAAATTTCCGTTATGAGCGCAGATAAAAAAATTAAAAAGCGAGAGTTTTTTTATTTCTTTTCGCCATTCAATAGCAAAATCTAGAAAAGCATTTTAATCATTGTCTAGTAAACCAATCCCCCATTTAGTACAGTTTTAAAAATATTATACCATTTTTCAAATGATCTTAAGTATATGTCTACCACTGTGTGTATTATACACAAAATTGTTAAGAAATAATATACGTTAGCCGCGTTTGGGGTCGGTAATTCTAGTTTCAATAGCTACTAATGCTATTAATTTTAATTAATTTTAATGCTATTAAAAATATTCGAACACCTTTATAACGGTGTAAACGGTATAAATCGCTAATCTTTTTAAGATTAGATCAAATAACTTTTTTTGAGATGTTAGAGAGACTAGTTTACTAGATATTATCAAAATAAATTTTGCAGAAATTGCAATTGATTGGAATGACGAGAAAAGTAAAAATTTGACTCCTTTTTTCGTTATAAGTTCAGATAGATAAACATAAAAAAGCATCGTTTTTTAATTGTTTTCGTTATTCCGACGAATAATGATTCTAGATAAATTATTTTTAGATATTATCTAATAAACTAGCGCCTCTCTGATATTTCAAAAAAGTTCAATTCGTTTGGTCGAATCTAAAAAAAAAAGTTATTTTGTTTTAAAAAGTATGCGTTCAGACCTAAAGATTTTGCTAAATCTTTCCGATGTTATTAAACTTCACGTACATTCAATAAATAGTCGAACGTCATTCTCTTCAAAATTAGGTCCCGAATGAAAAAATCGTGCATTTTCGACTTGTTTTTTAAATGTAGGATTACTTTCCTTCGTAACATGCACTAAGGAGTATTCATAATTATTGAATTCAATATAATGAGCTCACAACGTGCCTGTATCGATATTATAAGGCAAGGGGTTAATCATAAGGCAAGAGGTCATGATTTTAACGAGGGTTTCTCGTGTAACCTAACTCTAACTATTTACGATTGTTTACTGAACCAACCCAAACATATTTGCCATATCCGGTTGATGTTATTTTTGTATTTTTAGACAAAGAAACCATCGTTTGTATCTTAATTATTTATTTATATTTTTATGAATCAGAAACTATAAATCATATTGTGAAACCTTTTACGTAAATGTTATATTGTTAACAACGAAGATGTCTAACTAAAGATTAAAATTTTCGAAAAGTAATTATTTTCGGAATGAATAAATTCTTCTTCTTCTATTTTTCAAAAATCATTTCAAAATTAATAAAAACATTCTTTGGTTTAGAATTTAACACGTACAAAGTTGTTATTCCTCGACTTTTCATTCTAGCCACTTGATGTGGTCACTAATGGCTGTCATCAAATATTTTATTATGTCATCGATCGACAAGTAATTAGCTGGCACGTAGTAGATGCGTACAAGCTAACACACGCGGTGCACGTGGCACAGAATGTGTTAATTATGCATGGCAATCTCGTCGTGAACATTGAGTATCCAGTGATTGTTAATTATTATACCAGCTGATGTAAAAATGCTCAAGTTTAGAACGACAATTTTATACAGAACAATTATACTGTCCTGGACAAAAGATAGCACATATAATTTCTCAAAAACTACGTGAAATTTCTCAAATGTAAATTATAGTATTTAAAGCATATTTAAAGCATTTACATTTGAGAAATTTCACATAGTTTTCGAGAAATCAAAGATAGCATACATGTGCTATCTTTTTGTCCAGGACTGTAGTACTGATACGTTGCCATAATCTTTCTTAGAACAAAAAAGAAACCGTTATCCGTTGGATGAAAATAAGATTTTTTGTGAGAAAACGCATGAAAGATATAATTTTTATAGGAATAGTGGTCCTCTGTGTGATGGCTATATAATTTCTTTCTCAAAGTACGAAACTAACACTAATCAAATACAACAAAATCCTCAGGTTCATAAAGTAAACAACTAAACAAAATTACTTTGCATATGTCATTCCTCAGTTGTCACGACTAAATAATACCATTTGTACGAGAATGAAAAATTGCGACCAAAGTCTGGATATTGGTGTCTCTAGTATCGTTAGCGAATATCCTGTGAAGCAAACATTGAAATTAACACTAGAACTACCAATGATCAATTGTCATTACCTTCTAAAAGTAACAAAGCTGCATTTATTCACATTGCATGCAACTTTTATCGAAATATACTCTAACTCTTTACTAATAATAGCATGTATACTAATATAAGCACATCAATTATGAGCTCAAAATTTTGTTGTAGAGTACAGTAGTTCTAGAGTTTAAATTTTCAACTAGTTTAAATACTGATCAAATTTCGCATAACATATTAGATTTGCAAATAGACAAATGAAAATCTAATTTCTATGAAAACTTATTAGTCCGATTTATGTATTGTAGTTGATACGTAAACTATATTAATTTTATAAGTAGATTTTGATTTACTTTGCGTTTGACAAATCTACGATTCTATGCAAAATTCACCGATCAACTGTATCTTATTATTAGTTGGTAGTAACGAAGTTGTTAATAAAAAATTTGTTATATGTACCAATATACTGGTGTCCCATGTCGTGGACGCTCCTGGAAGCCTGGAATTTGTTGCTGTACGGAGCTCGGTACGGATGAGCATAGTTCTCGTTCTCAGACTCTTGCATGACGTATTTCTGGTTGTTATTGCTCGGATGGTAGTAGCTATGGTGGCTGTGTCTTTTTCTGGTCATTTCCGGCGACGTGGCGGGACTGTCGATGCTCGATATCGGCTTCAGCATCCTCTTCAGGGTGTTCGAGTCTAAACTAATCCCACCGTTCTGTGCGTTCTCGATCCTCATGTCATCGGTGCTCTTACTCTTTGGCTTTTTACTGCTGTGATTGTTGTTCACTATGTTAAAGATATTGCCGTTTTGGATCTCCAAGTCGGTGTAATCGGCCGACTTCGTATGATGCAGCTGTTCTTTTCGCAGGGACTTGTTCTGCAACGTGCCGCCGGCCTGGGTACCCTCCGACTTCAGCATCTCGGTGCCATTCTGCTGGGTGCCGGTGTCTTGATTCTGCTTTGGTGTTTTCTTCGGGGAGACCAGCGTGCCTTTCTCCTCGGGGCTGTCGATCTGCAAGCGAGCGTGAACAGTTTTAGACAGCACACGGAAAACAATACAATAGAATGCTTTTGTCAAATTGCATCAATGGGTTTCATTAAATAATTCATTAGTCTTTTCATACTGATTTTTGAATATGTGTGTAAACTCAATTATACATCTGCTATATTTCTACTATGCTATCTAGTATATTTATACTATAGTATCTGATATATAATGTCCAGTATATTTATATAATGTAGTATCCAGAATGTTTATACTATACTGTCTAGCATATTTATTCTATAGTATTTAACATATTTGTATTATAGTACCTCGTATAATTACACTATAGTATCTAGTACAAATACTCATATTATTTAGTCTATTTGTATTACACTGTCTATGTGTTGTCTCTTATACACATCTAGATGTGTATAAGAGACAGCTCTAGTATATGATACTATAGTATCTAGTACAAATACTCATATTATTTAGTCTATTTGTATTACACTGTCTATGTGTTGTCTCTTATACACATCTAGATGTGTATAAGAGACAGCTCTAGTATATGATACTATAGTATCTAGTACAAATACTCATATTATTTAGTCTATTTGTATTACACTGTCTATGTGTTGTCTCTTATACACATCTAGATGTGTATAAGAGACAGCTCTAGTATATGATACTATAGTATCTAGTACAAATACTCATATTATTTAGTCTATTTGTATTACACTGTCTATGTGTTGTCTCTTATACACATCTAGATGTGTATAAGAGACAGCTCTAGTATATGATACTATAGTATCTAGTACAAATACTCATATTATTTAGTCTATTTGTATTACACTGTCTATGTGTTGTCTCTTATACACATCTAGATGTGTATAAGAGACAGCTCTAGTATATGATACTATAGTATCTAGTACAAATACTCATATTATTTAGTCTATTTGTATTACACTGTCTATGTGTTGTCTCTTATACACATCTAGATGTGTATAAGAGACAGCTCTAGTATATGATACTATAGTATCTAGTACAAATACTCATATTATTTAGTCTATTTGTATTACACTGTCTATGTGTTGTCTCTTATACACATCTAGATGTGTATAAGAGACAGCTCTAGTATATGATACTATAGTATCTAGTACAAATACTCATATTATTTAGTCTATTTGTATTACACTGTCTATGTGTTGTCTCTTATACACATCTAGATGTGTATAAGAGACAGCTCTAGTATATGATACTATAGTATCTAGTACAAATACTCATATTATTTAGTCTATTTGTATTACACTGTCTATGTGTTGTCTCTTATACACATCTAGATGTGTATAAGAGACAGCTCTAGTATATGATACTATAGTATCTAGTACAAATACTCATATTATTTAGTCTATTTGTATTACACTGTCTATGTGTTGTCTCTTATACACATCTAGATGTGTATAAGAGACAGCTCTAGTATATGATACTATAGTATCTAGTACAAATACTCATATTATTTAGTCTATTTGTATTACACTGTCTATGTGTTGTCTCTTATACACATCTAGATGTGTATAAGAGACAGCTCTAGTATATGATACTATAGTATCTAGTACAAATACTCATATTATTTAGTCTATTTGTATTACACTGTCTATGTGTTGTCTCTTATACACATCTAGATGTGTATAAGAGACAGCTCTAGTATATGATACTATAGTATCTAGTACAAATACTCATATTATTTAGTCTATTTGTATTACACTGTCTATGTGTTGTCTCTTATACACATCTAGATGTGTATAAGAGACAGCTCTAGTATATGATACTATAGTATCTAGTACAAATACTCATATTATTTAGTCTATTTGTATTACACTGTCTATGTGTTGTCTCTTATACACATCTAGATGTGTATAAGAGACAGCTCTAGTATATGATACTATAGTATCTAGTACAAATACTCATATTATTTAGTCTATTTGTATTACACTGTCTATGTGTTGTCTCTTATACACATCTAGATGTGTATAAGAGACAGCTCTAGTATATGATACTATAGTATCTAGTACAAATACTCATATTATTTAGTCTATTTGTATTACACTGTCTATGTGTTGTCTCTTATACACATCTAGATGTGTATAAGAGACAGCTCTAGTATATGATACTATAGTATCTAGTACAAATACTCATATTATTTAGTCTATTTGTATTACACTGTCTATGTGTTGTCTCTTATACACATCTAGATGTGTATAAGAGACAGCTCTAGTATATGATACTATAGTATCTAGTACAAATACTCATATTATTTAGTCTATTTGTATTACACTGTCTATGTGTTGTCTCTTATACACATCTAGATGTGTATAAGAGACAGATCTAATATAGTATAATTAAATTATTTAATGTATTTTTAGTTTAATTTTATATAGATAATTATGTATAATTTCCAATTCTTTAGTATCCAGTATATTTGTACAATACTGTCTAGAATATTTATACTATTGTGTCTAGTATAAATATTATTATAAATATTATAGTATATACTCTAGTATATGATA